GCTATATGACATTTCGATGTCGAGATGCCTGGCTTCGAAAGTAAAAGGGTAGACTGAGCTTGTATTTCAATGAAAAGTGTATTGCCCTCCGTTCAAGCATTCTGCCCTGTTGAAAAATTGAAAAGGATACACGTATTTTAATTTACTGCCTGATCCCAATAGCCAGGCTTCTTACGGCAAATATGAGTGCTTTCGCATTGAATACACTGTGGCATTTTAAATATCCTTTGGCCTACACGAGTAACGCTCTAATTTCCATCTCTAAATATTTTTTGTGGAAGGCGTGAAAGTGAGTCGAATTAAAACATTAAATTATTCGATTCGAATTCATCTCCAACATTTTTTTCTATTTTAGGAGCCTCCCTTACCCACAGTAAGTTCCAACTTGTAGGATTTCATTGATATTTCTGCCTTGCCTGTGTTCGCTATTGGGTGACGTACGCAATATAGTATCGTCTTAAAGGTTTGCCATCTCAATGCAAACATGAAAGAAGCATTTTGAATGCGTGCAGTATTTTCACTAAGATGCTTCAGCTGCACAATGCGGCTTTTCCTACGAAAAAATGAATGTGTCGCGGGCATTCATAAACTATCAGCTACTTTTGTTACTGTTAAAAATGTGCTAGCTCGCATATTAGATACAAAACAAACAGAAGAGAAATATTTTCGTGTATGTGATTATAACACGAAGACCTACGGTCATTCTTCAAAATGGAATCAAATCTTGGTTGGAAATAAACATGAACTGTGGAGTAACTGCTTCACATTCATTCCAGAAACGCATATATTAACTAAGACAACAACCCCTACGAGTGAGCGCAGCGAACGCTGTTGAAATAAATGTAAGCAATAAAACTCTTTTAATTGTCTGTGACAGTGTATACTTTGAAATCTCAAACTAAAAACTAGATCAGACCTCAGATACGCATCCTGCAGATGGTGTAATCATGGACGGATTAACCTCTTCACTGGCTCCGGGATTGAAGAAATTATGTAATCCCTTCAGACTACTAATTCCAATTGGCGAAAACTGACAGCGATTGGTCTTGATAACCTTTACCCCATGAATGCGCTTAGCGATCATCTAACTGCCTAATAAGGCGTAGCACCTATCAGAATATTTTCTCCTAGAATAAGGTACGTGATCTCTTACTTCTATATGATTATATTCCCACTTAATGATCTTTTACTTGGAGGCGAGACGAAAACGAAAGGTTTGGTGAAGCCAGTCGCCAAAAGGTTGGTGATTGGATAAGCGATTGAACAACCATTATCATATGTGATTAGCACTATAATCAATTTTTTTGTTCTATATTGAGGGTCTTCTGCAAGATTAGTATATGTTTTCTGAAGGCACATTCATTTCACTGGGTTATTGAACCATCAGTGATTCACTTACGCTTTCCTGCGTTCTCAATTACTCTATTGGTCAAAGAACTTCCTTCAAACCACAGATCGCCTGCCGACCCTGTAACTGCCTCTCAGAACGCAAAATTTCAGATTATCAAATCACAATTTTAGCAGTTGATTGTTTTTAATATTTTTTTCTTAACTCTACATTCACTTACGACGCACGCGATTGCATTTAAGTGAAGCTGAAAAACAATATTTCGTGAGTAGGGGAGTTAATGCAATTTTATTTGAACGAATGCTCCTTGCTTAATAGAAAAAAAACTGCAAAGAAAAGCTTTAACTATACTTACGGATCATTTGCTGTCAAATATATGTGGGCGTTTGCTTGTAAATTAATTTTACCCTAATTGTGCTCAATAATACAGTATGTGTTTGTCAATAATCGTGCTTAAGCTAGTCTTTTCTTGTGTGACTTTGAAGTACATGAAATGTCAATTCAAATGGCATTGCAGTTGTTGGTTGTATGTGTACCATAAAATGTGATCCAAATCCGTTTCAAGAGTTTTTAAGAACTGTATGCTACCTTAAATAATGCATGGAAAAATATAGTTTTATTTACAAGTCAAGTACACAGCATGTAGGCTGAAAAACCTCAGCGAGAGTGCAACTTCAAGTGCGGTTCAGAAATATGCGGGAGATGACATTGTTTTCAAGATGGATTTGTATCCTTTCTCAGAGCATAAACTTTAAGATAATGTCCTTGCCTCCAAAGTGAATGCAAGGAGGAGTATTTTTCACACATGTTCCTAAATGTATGCTTAGAATGAATATTAAACGAGACAGAAGATTAAAAGTCTTTCATCATATTGGAGCCATCGAATATAAATAGAAAAAATGCATGCTAATTTTTTTTACTGGTTGTGGTTCTTGGTAACGGCCGATGAAAAAAAAATGTATTTCACAGCCTGAACCCCGGTACGACTCACACATTGTGGGACTATGCTGTACCATTATACATATTAAAATCTACGGAAGTATTTGTTATTAAGGCTATATTTCGGAATTTCAGTGGTGTTTGTATCCATTTCCCAATATCACTAGCATTGACTGCCTTTTCGTTACTCCTTCAGGAACAACCTTTGACTCGGCAGGCACTGCAACTGCGGATTCGCATTATAGAGCAGTTCCATCTGCTTTGTGCAATTGTCGGCCGTTGGTTGTTGCCACTTTACGGCATTGGCACCGCTCAGCTCTCTGAACTGCTGCTCATCAACATTGGCACTGCTGCTGACATCCTCGACCTCTTCGAGGCCTTCAACGAGGAAGCTGTTATCAAAAATGTCCCCCTACAGGTCAGCATCCTTTGTCTATGGCAAGCCAGCGTATTGCAGTTCTGCTTCAATAAGACCGCCAGACTTGAGATCAGCAGGCCGCCGACCATCGCAGAGCATCCACAAAAGCCCAGCAGTCCAGATAGTGATCAGCATAGCCCTTTGCAGGCATCTGCAAAAGAAGGCGCCAACCAAAACTTTTGCACGATAAGCTCCACAAAAAAGGAAATCCCTCCATCAAGCCCTATGGATGAAACGGAATCACAGCTGCAGAGCCCTACAGATAACGTCATACGGCATTCAGGCTCTCTACATGAAACGGAATCGCAGGATTCAAAAAAGGAGATCCCGCAATCAAGCTCCCTACATGAAACGGAATCGCAGGAAAAAGGCAGTGAGTCGACCGATGGAGGCTGCTTTTGCGGTCGTTTTTGTCGTAAGAGCTTTATACAAGATGACCAATGTCGCTTCGTCCTCTTCGGGACGGAGTTATGGGTAATTATTATGACACTAATGCTCCAGGATGTGCCCTTCATGTTTCTGCGACTCATGCTGATTTTCGCCTTTGCTGTGCAGAGTTATCAGAACATCTTTTTCTCTGTCAAGAACCTGATCATCATTGTGGCCGAGGTCTATCGGTCGTTGGCCCTGCTGCAAACTTACGGTCCTAATCACAAGCTAATGGACTGGAATCACCTCTTTTTCCGCCTACGCTGACATCCGGAAAGCAAACGTGTTCTCTCTGACAGTCGCCGCCCCGCCGCAAATATGTTCATGCAGAGTGTCACAGAGACAGGGGGCGACTTTTTCAGTCTGATCACTTACGCTTATACTGACTGCTCGAAGTCTTCTGTGTGATCAATTTTAGTCACACTTACTCTTAATGACACTATCGATAGATAGAATGGGGACAGTAAAAATGTTTATATGTAACCTTTAATAAATGGGTCTTGAATCCGTCAACACATCTGTCGTATTGTTTTTTATTAATTTTTGGGAGCTAACCGGCACTGGAGACTGGACAAATGCCTTGCCAAAGCCAGCAATTCTAACCAGAATTAGTGGAAAGAAGCAAGCCGCATATTTCTAGTTTTCAGTCTATAGACACGCGGTTCGACAGGTTCGTACATGTCTCATGTTTCGGGGTGGGAGGTGTGCAAATGGAGTTCAAACGTTGTAACTTGCTTTCTATCGACCTATAAAACTATATACAACTATGTGCATTTCTTCGCATGCCGCAATT